CTAAAACTGGTAACAGACTTCGGTTTCTTCGGTTTGTACCCATGAGTATGTTCTGTGCATAATGAATTCTCACCCATTTTCTGCTAGTAGTGTTCTATCTAAATGACTTGAGAAGCCAGAACTTCCCACCCCCACCCCACAGGAGGCTGCCAGCACTGATCCAGTCCTTATTCCTGCTTGTTGCCGCACAACAGAAGAGGGAATGGAGAGGACAGCACTCATCACCCAGCCTTCTGATGATGCCCAAATATTTGCCTTTCTGCAGCATAGTGTTCGGTGACTCCAACAATCCCCTTGGCATTTTTTCCTCCCTCCACTAGGGTGGCTCATCTAACAGTGTCCTTGTGGTCTAAAATATCCAGTATTTCAAGGCAACATCTAAATACTACCTTGTGCCATTTCTGTTCCACCTCCAAAAAGAATGTATTCGCCAATCTCAACAAAAATAACTTAAGGGGCTCCTAGGTGGCTCAGTCGGTTGAGCATTGGACTCTTGCTTTCCGCTCAGGTCATGGTCTCTGGGTGGTGAGATCGAGCCCCAAGCCAGGCTCCTGCTCAGCGGGGAGTCGACTTGAGATTCTCTCTCGCTCCCTCTCTTCCCTGCCCTCTCCTCCCGCTTGCCCATGCGTGTGCGCTCTCTTTCTCTCTCTAAATAAATACATTTTTAAAAACCAAACATACAAAAAACAACTTAAGAATGAGTTATGTAGGAAGTTGTTGCTGCAGCGATGTTTATGATATAGAGACCCTCGCTACAGCCTAAAGCTAGGAGAGAAAGGTTAAATAAATTCTGGTATATCCATATAATGGAATATTGGGATTATAATACACCATTAAAAATGATGTTTGCTAAATGCTTATGCTAAAATTTTATTTTTAAATAAAAGTTATCAAAATCTTATCTTAGTATGATCCAAAATTACCTGTAAAATATGGTACATTTTAAACATGTACCATAGTTTTCTCTGAGTGATGAAACTGTGAGTACTTTTTAACTGCTTTTTTTCCTACATGTTTGTATTATCCACTATTTTTATTGGGGAAGGGTAAAAAAAAAAAAATCATTGTAGGACTAAAAGTGTTACAGCTAATCAAATAAAACATTTTGGTCTTTCTTATTCTGAGTCTGTATTTTTTTTTTAAACTAAGTCAGTCTGAGGTTGTCTCTGCCAGCTTTGTTGTCCTGTTCTATGGATTAACAGTGGACAGGATTCTGTATGTGGGTGATGACAGCTGGCCTTTGCTGAATAACTGCTATGTGCCAAGCAGGAATCTAAGTTCTTATTATACATTATCTCATTTAATCCTCACGTCAACCCAGCGAGGTAGTATGATTATCTCCATCTCATCATACTGGAACTGAAGCAGGAAGGTGAAATAACCGGCCTCAGGCCATCCAGCTGCATTTCAAACTCATGCCCTCCTGGGTATGAATGGCTACACCATTTATAACACATTAAGTCCTCACAGCATTTTATTAGGACTATTAGAATGTTTCAAAATATTTGGGAAATGCGCTGACTCCATAAGGTGCTACTTACGTGTACTTCGAAGAATCAAAGCACCAAGAAACAGGCCAAAGGAATCTCCCAGTTGATACTTTATGGAAATTCCACTGCAGGACTTTTGCCAAAGTCTATCTTATGGATGGACATGGCTACCTCAGTGAGGTAGAGATGTGACTTGTACCTTTTCTCCGTGACCTCAATCAAGTGTTCATGTCCCCAAGAAGCAAGGCATAAGAGAAAAGAACTATATCACCTATAATCAGACTTCCAACTTAATTGAGGAGATAAGACAAATAACACACATGAAACAATCAGCACAAGGCAAAAAACCCAAACCATAATTAAATGCTTAACTATAACTAGTGTAGAAGTCACGTGGAAAGACCTCATCAGCTGTGAAGTGTGAGAATTTGAAAGGTACAAGAAACCACACTTGAAGATCACCTAGCCAACTCCAGCATCTCAAGATGAGAGCTAGTAACTTGGTTGAGGTCACAGAGCTGCTGAGTAGCTGAGGGAAGTCAGGTAATGAAGGAAGTTCGATGAAGCGGTTAGTCTTAGAAAAGCCTTCCAAGGACAAGTAGTGAGGTGACAGTACTTTTCGATGAACAGCGGACAATATTCCTCTCTCCTGCTTTAGCAAAATCAACCTGCCACTGGTCTGGTGTTTAGATTACAAGCTTGTAAAGAGTCCCTGCACTGAGATTTCATTTTTAAAACAATTAGAAACTACTGAATTGTTTGTTTCATTCCACTCATTGTTTTTAAACATCAAGTATTTTATGTACTGCACTCTAAGCTCGATATTACCAAACAGAAACACACCTACTCACATCAGCATTCCAGATGCTTATCTGAGAGAAGTGAGATCTGGCTGTCTTTAACACACCTCTGGTTTAGGTAGTAGACTCAGGTGTCTGATGTTGTAAAATGGTAAGTAGGAATTATTTGCCTAGTTTTGATGCTTCAATCCCCAACATACTCTTACATTTTATTTAAAGCACCCAAAACTCTTTGTTATAGTTGCTCACATAAAATCTATCAGTCAGGGATGCCTGGGTGGCTCAGATGGTTAAGCGTCTGCCTTCAGCTCAGGTCATGATCCCAGGGTCCTGGGATGGAGCCCCGCATCGGGCTCCCTGCTTGGCGGGGAGCCTGCTTCTTCCTCTCTGCTGTTCCCTCTGCTTGTGCTCTCTCTCTCTCTGCCAAATAAATAAATTAAATCTTTAAAAAAAATCTATCAGTCATTAGAAAATAGGGATATATTTAACTCTAAGTGGATTAGAGAACCTAAATATAAACTGATTGAGCACTATCTTTTTTTATAAAAAGATACCTAAAAGATACCTAGGCAAGGTGTAAAGATATTAAACCTAGTTTTCACTGAGGAATTTTGGTAGTGAATACAGCAGATGTGACTCAGAACACGTAAAATTTATTTCAGAAATGTTCATTCAAATTTGAGAACAGAAAACATGATAGGATAATGAAAAGTTGATTTGGATGAATCCCTTTTACTTTTTTTTTTTTAAGGATCTTATTTATTTATTTGACAGAACCGATAGAGCAGGAGAGCACTAGCAGGGGGAGCAGCAGAGGGAGAGGGAGAAGCAGCTACCCCCACAGCAGGGAGCCGGATGTGGGGCTCGATCCCAGGACCCCGGGATCGTGACCTGAGCTGAAGGCAGTCGCTTAACCAACTGAGCCACCCAGGCGCACTTTGATGAATCCCTTTTAAAAGTTTATAGGTAAGTGTCCTGGTCACTGAATTTAAGATAACTAAGGTTTTTATTTTTGTAAAAAATACAAACCACTTTAATTTCTGACACCAAACATACAGGCATAAAGTTACATTTTCTTGTATTCTAAGATAATAATCTCTGTGGGTTTGCAAGCTCAAATTAAGGCTCAAAATGGTTTTTTCTATGCTTCCAATCTATTATTAAGAGTGTACTTTAAATTCCTCAAAAATTACTTAAAAAGGTGTTGTGCTCTCATAGACCATTTAAGCTAGCTGGAATACCCAAAAACTCAATATAGTTCTCTTTCAATATATTTTAGCAATTTACATTGCAAACTGTCATACAATTTGTACACATAGATCAGAGAAATAACTAAAATGTGGTTTTGAAAGAAGTAAAACAGGTTAACAAATCATAAGTAATCAATATTAAGTCCATAAGGAAAGTAATTTTCTAACAAGTCTCAAAAACAAAAATAAATACAAATTCAAGTGCTAAGTAGATGTCCTCCTTACAACCATTGCCAAATCTCTGGGGCTTCAAAGTTCCAGACAAGACTTCTAACTTTCAATCTAAACATTTCAGATCTACAAAATACAAGTATCAGAGTCACATCCCACACCGATACTTCCTAAAGTCTCAGAGATTTTAACTGGGCACAGAAAAATTAAGAGTCTAAACAGAAACAAAAAAGTTTGCCAAATACCAAGTTTTTACAGATATATCCAAAACCTATACTAGCAATTTCTCAGTATCAGACATATGCAAATGGTGTTGGATGCAATCACTAATTAGTGATGCATTCTACTTACTTTGCTTTTTGCCATTTATAAGCTTCATTAAAGACACCCAGAAAGAGGTAACCAGTTGAATGAGGTTCGGCTCAGATGGGAAAAACCGGTTGTAAACTCGATCTACAAATTTACATCTCACAATGTCCTGCGGGGAAGGTACTCTTTATAGACTAATATCATATACAAGCTTTAGACTGTGAAATTACGCATTTCAGCTTTTTACGCCACACACACCATTAGAAACCCTCAACTCTACATCCCCAATTCCCGGAAAAAAAAAAAAACACAAAAAACTCCACCTCCAATTTTCATTGGTCCACATAGTTCCGGCCCACATGGTATCAGTGGGTGTGTCGCGGCCAACAGGTCCTCTCATTGGCTGCGAAGAAAAAGCATTTAATAGGCTGTGATTTGGGGGGTTGTCAAACTCCACGCCTCCAGGCCTGGCGCTTGCCAATAGACCCGAGGTACTGGCGGCTACTCTGCGATTCAAAGGACAAGGTGGCTGCCTGAGCGCTAACCCCAGAAAGACGAACTCTGAGAAGGAAAAGGGGCAAGGAGAAGGGAGAGGACGGCTCCGGCTGTCCCTCCAGCTCTACCCCTACTCCTGCACCCCGAGAAATGTTCTCACACGTGCATTTTCCCATCAACAAATTAGTGAGGCGGGCGATGCGCTAGCCTTTTTTAGAGTCGTGACCGAAGGAGCAGCGCAGGATCCGCATTCAATCGGCCCATTCTACAGACCGAAGCAAACAAGAGTGAGGCTTAGGCTGCGATCTTTAGTGCTTGGCGCCCCTGGGGAAAGAATCAGTCCCGGGAGCCCCCTCCGTACACTGCCCGACAGCGGGCGCTGAGGCGCACCGGGCGCGCTGCGGTGCCTGCCCCGCCGCTCCCGGGTGCTGGGCCCGCGGGATGCGCCTGCCTCGCGCCAGCGCTCCCCTCGCGATGGGACTTACGCGGCCTGTTCTTTCTCCCAGAGTCCATTCTCCTCCGCAGCCGGCATTTCTTGGCCGGGGAGTCGTGCTGAGGGGGCGGTGGCTGCGGCTGCAGCTCCGGCAAGAGCGGGAGGCGCGGGGGCGCCGCGTCGCCACCGCCCGCGGGGCCCCGGCTGCAGAGGCGCGGCGGCTGGACTGGCGGCGGGTGGAAGCCGTTGTGCAGCAGCCCGTTCACGGCGGCAGCGCCGGCGTCGGCGGGGGCCCCCGGGGCGTGCGTGGCCGAGTGCTCCGGCCGCCCGCCCCGGTCGCCCATGCCGGGGGCTGGTGCGGTGGCGCGCGGGCCCCGGCTCAGGCGGCCTCGCTGGAGGTCATTCTCGGGCGTCTTTATTTCCCCGGATCCTCCCTGCGGTTTCCGATTCAGCAGCCGCAGAGCCGGCGCCGGGGGATGGCGAGCCCGGCGCTCCTCCCCTTCTCCCACCGGCTCCCCCCGCTCCTTAGCGCTCTGCCCCCCGCGCGCCCGCCCCGCCGCGCCGGCCGGGAGCATACCGGCTCCCGGCGCGGAATCCGAGAGCCCCGCGGACCCCCAGCCGGGGCCCCCGCAACCCGCCTCCTCCTGATACCCGGGCCGTGCGACTTCAAACGCGGCTTCCTTGCCTCCCAGACCTGTCCCCGCTACTGAGCATGCCCAGTGCTGCCCGCCACCGCCACCGACGAGTTTCAACATGGGGAATGAAGTTCTCAGGGTTTGCAAAGAGATGGGCGGGTTGGGCTTTGTATCTCGGAGCAGCCGAGAGGGGACTGGGCGAGGCTGGCGCTAGAGGAGCAGGCAGCTTGGGGAGGAATACGGAGGCACACAAATATCTGTAGAGGTTTCAGGTTTGCTAATCCTGCCCGCAGTGGGCTAGACACCTTTGCAAGGTCATTCACTGTGTCACCTCCAAAACCCCTCCTCTCCTTGCTTTGTGTGCGTGTGTTTGGTTAAGTGACCAAACTACTCACAGGCCTGAGTGGAGGGAGGAGAACGATTATTTATAGAAAGGTAAGCTGATTTGCGAAGCAAAGGGAGTGAAATTTCTTTACTGGCCCACATGCAGACACCATGCGGTTTCCTGGAGTTGTCTTTGCGGGGAGGAAACCTAGGAATACAGTGTAAGGACAGTGAAGGACACAGCTGCACACGGGATTAACCGGTGCTGGAAGAGACCAAGTACACAGAAGCAGTCCCAAGCTATAAAAAGCACTTTCCTCACCCAGAAAGGACTTCAAGAGACAATGTCATCCTATTTATAGAGTAAGGAGTTGCCTGTGTTTTAAGAAGGGAAGGCAGCATGGCAGGGTGGTCAACACCATAAACTTTGGAGTCAGAGCTGGGTTCAAATTCCAACTCAGTCACTGAGCAAACCCATAGAAAATTGCTCAAGTTAACACACCTGGCAATAGGAAACAGGACTGGACATGCTCAGTAGGCAGGAAAAACTTGGGTGGTGAGGACCTTTCCAAAGTTATGTAATCCCTTGAGGCCTCAGCTTTTGAATCTCACCAGGAGCTGTTGCGAGAAATCTACCTGAAGTAGCTGGTACAACCCAAGCACACAGTAAATGCTTCAAAGAGGTAGTTATTTTAATCACATTGTTATTATTAGCAGTCCACCCTTCAAGTGAGGGGAGCAAACCATGCTCACAGCCATATTTACAGTATGATTTATTACGTGTGATGTTCTCCATCATTTGTATGGACTGAATCTGCAGAGAAGTCAGAGACTACCAAGTGCGGGCTGGGCTGCTGGGTTGCCAAGCCCCTGGGCCTCGGTGCATTCAGCTGCAGCCAGGGCCTGCAGCCCGGATGAGCAATTGCTTCCAGGAGAGTCCTACCCAGAACCGCACCTTTGGAACCACAGGGACTGATGTTTTTGAATATAGGTGAGGTTTGGTGGGGTCTGGAGCCAACAGCCAAGAGAGAATTCTTGACGTGTCTTCGGTGCAAAATGGTGGGGTTTTATTAAAGCACAGGGACAGGACCCATGGGCAGAAAGAGCTGTTGCTGCTCCAGGATTGTGAGGGGCAACTGATTATATACTTTGGGGTCGAGGGGAGTAAAGGTAAGGGAAGTTCCAAAAGGATTTTCATATGTTAAAGAAGACTCACCGAATTGGGGGGGGGGGGCTTGCTGTAGTCAAACCAAGGTTGTTTTTCCCTCTAGCAAGGCATTCATATTAAGACAGTTTGGAGCTTCCTGGAGGAGGGTTATACTCTGCTTGCCTCAAGTATTTGTCAATGGACGACAGGTTATACGGACATTTAATTTTATCTGCATTTCCTTCTGCCTTTGTTTCCTACACCAGGGGCCACTGGAGAACTCTGGTCCATCCACTCATTTTTGCACATAAGGAATGAGCCACAGAGAAATGGCTGAGGTTATTAAGAGCAAAACTAGGGCTAAGCCCTACATCATCTATTCCTGACCTTATTATACTATTTGAGACATAGAGGAAAAACAAACAAGCAAAGTTGGGTGCTACGGCTCCTGCCTTCCTCTCCTGCTTGTGCTCCTGCTGTAGGGCAGCCTGCCAATTCCTCAAATTATTATCCCTTTGCACCTGTTACTTCCATTGCCTGAAATGCTCTTCCCCCAGACCTCTTTGTCCACTAGATGCTGACTCAATCCTCAGACCTCTGTTTCAACCTCGTATATTTGGAGAACTCTTCCCTGACCCTTAGGACTAGATCACGTGTTTCTACTCCCTACACTGTATCTTCATGACTCTATCAGTTTGTGACTACAATGCCTCTGTTCCCTTATTTGTCAATGGGGATAATAATAGGACATCACTGAGTTGTTACAATGATGAAATGAATTAACATATGCAAAGTGCCCGGCACATCATAACTGCTATGAAAAAGCTAGATATTGTTAACGGGGGGGGGGGGGGGGGGGCAAGGTTGCAAGGGCCTCTAGCTCAGAGGGTCCCAAACAGACCAGTAGTGTTGAAACAAGAAAGGGATGTATTTCAGTGAGGCCAACACTGGTAAGACCTTGGACTAATGTCCCAAAGAAATACTTCCAGGTTTATATAAGGAAAATGTGGGACAAAAGTCAATGGGTGAATGCAGCTGGGCAGTCAAGGTCAGGTTGATCAGGTTGTCTTGGGGTCAATCATGCAGGCCTTGCTGGCTCAGGGCAGTCCTTACAGCTTGAGTAGTTTTGGTTCCCATCAGGGGATGCTTTGCCCACAGGGTCTTTAGCTTGTAATAAACACTGTGAGTTTTTACTTTTTAACTCTTCATTGAAAATAACATGCGTACAGAAATGTATGCATATCCTAAGGATAGAGCTCAGTGAATTTTGCACAAATAAACACTCTGTGTAATTAGCACCTGATCAAGAAACGACCCAACAGGCCCCTAGCTCAGAGGGTCCCAAGTGGCCACTTGCCACTGACAAAAATCCAAAGGCAAAGAGTCGAGTAGTGTTGAAACAAGAAAGGGATGTATTTCAGTGAGGCCAACACTGGTAAGACCTTGGACTAATGTCCCAAAGAAATACTTCCAGGTTTATATAAGGAAAATGTGGGACAAAAGTCAATGGGTGAATGCAGCTGGGCAGTCAAGGTCAGGTTGATCAGGTTGTCTTGGGGTCAATCATGCAGGCCTTGCTGGCTCAGGGCAGTCCTTACAGCTTGAGTAGTTTTGGTTCCCATCAGGGGATGCTTTGCCCACAGGGTCTTTAGCCTGACTTAAGAGGTAAACTGGAAAACTGGAAAGAAGAACTTAATCAGTAAGAAAGTTTGAGGTCAAAATGGAGGGAGTGGAAGTCCTCTTCAGTGTTACTATTTGACTGTCGGTCTCTACCTCCCCCCCACAACACACACACACACACACACACACACACACACACTGTGATCTCCATTAAGGCAGATGACTCTTGTTCCTCATTGTATCCTTAGGAAACTTTTGGTAATCATCTGTGACTGAATAAATAACTTGCATGATATTTTACCCAGGATGTCTCTCACTTTCTACTGTAAATTTGCTAAAAAATCTTCATTGCTATTTCTAAATAGTCAAAGATATAGTTTTCAAATTCTCACATAACTTGAGCTGAGTAGTTTAGGAAGCAGTTTATATCCGATATGCAAGTGGAAGCTTTAGCAATGCAGAATCTCCAAGGACATACTTTCTCCAGCTTGATTCCCAGGCATGGTGAGGAAGGACTGAGCCAGGTGGCTCCGACCCAGGCAGGGCAAAATTACTGGTACTGGGACAGAACGTCCTCCACCTGCTTCCTTGCTCCCGTCCTTGTCAGGCTGGTGCCCCGGATCAGTCACACCAGGCACGTGGTAGAGAGGAAGTCTCTCGGAAATGTAACTTTGAGGTATGAGCTCTCATGTGCTCCAGCAGGGGCATGGAACAAATGTTTGGAAGAGTGAGGGAGGGAGGAACCCACAAGCCACTCCTCTCCCTTTATTCATTCATTCACTGATGTATGAGTCATTCATTCAGTGCGTACTATGTTGTAGGCACTAAAACAGATGGTGGGAATATAGAGACAAAATAGATGCCTTCTTCACTGCCCTCGAGGAGTTTACAGTTCGTAGCAAGAGAGAGAAGTCGATGGTTCTCCACCAGTATACACAAAAATAACCTAGGGAGTTTTTACTTTTTAACTCCTCATTGAGAATAACATGCGTACAGAAATGTATGCATATCCTAAGGATAGAGCTCAGGGAATTTTGCACAAATAAACACTGTGTAATTAGCACCTGATCAAGAAACGAACATTGCCAGTAATCTAGGAGATTTTTTTAAGAGCAGATTCTGGGCCCAGGTCCATGGCACTGGTTTGGAGCACAGGAGTCTGCATGGTGATGGTAAGTATTTTTTATGTATTTTATTTTTAAAAAAGATTTGTTTATTTATTTGAGAGGGGGGGGAGCAGAGGAGGAGCGGGGGAGAAGCAGAGGGAAACAATCTCAAGCAGACTCCCTGCTAATCATGGAGCCCCAGCAGGGCGATCCCATGACCCCAAGATCACAACCTGAGCTGAAATCAAGAGTTGGTCGTGCAACCCACTGAGCCACCCAGGCGCCCCTATGGTAAGTATTTTTAAAATTAAAGAAGCAAAACAGTAGCGAAAAACTGTTTTTGTTTTTGTTTTTTTAGCAAAAAACTTTTTAAAAAACGAGATTATGATGTAGATGCTCCTTGATTGGAGAAACAATGAACAAAGCCAAGTATCACCTCTGCCAGGGGAGTAACTCTGGAGGATGCCAGAGAGAGAGCTCAGGGGAGGAGAGAGCAGGGAGGTATGCTAAGATGGAGGGTAACCCTGGCGTCAGGGAGGAAATAACCCTTAAACTGAATTTTGAATAATAATGGGATTTCTTTAGGGAAGGTTGAAAAAAATTCATTCAGAAGGAGGGAAATGGAGACTCTGTGGGTGGGTTTGAAACCTTCTGGCCTGTTTGGGAATCTGCCAGGAGTTCAACAATGCTGAAGGACGGCTTAGCAAGGGAGGAGGTGAGTGCTTGGAGCTGAAAATGTTCGATGGGTCCAAATCTCAGATGGCTTTCTGCCAGTAGGAAAGAGCTTGAACTTCTTCCTGAGGGCCACGGGAAACTGTTAAAAAGATTTAGGCTATAGAAAAACTACGAGATTTGAATTCTGGAAGGATCTCTGGTAGCTGCCTAGAGAACAGACTGGGGGAGGAGGTCCTTATTTAGGGGGATCAGAGAGAAGGCTATTGGAAAAGTTCATGTAAGCAGTGATGAGGGTCTGAGTGAAGGACAGCAGTTGGAATGAGAGCATTGGGTAGAGTCAAGAATTTTTTGAGGGTAGAATCCATAGGACTTGGTGGCCATTTGGAAGGTGAGGGAGAGGTAAGGCTAGGATGA